CTTTTTTGGAGGCGAGGCAGATCGAGCCGTCATGCCCTCTGATTTTTTAAGAGCCCCTGTCTCCAATGTTACCATCAATTCCCTAAACTGGACCTGCAGTTCCTTAAATTGATGCCTCATGTCCATTACCTCGTCCTCTTGTCTACTTAGCCTATCTGCCAGTGATGAGGTCGACCGGGTTGGTGAATGTGCCTCCACAGGGGTAGTGATCATTATACCCGTGATGACCCCATCACTTAGCCATTTCTGCCACTTTTCAATGCCCACTCTGGAAACAGTCACCAGTTTCTGCAGAGTGAGCCCCTCCTCATCTCTGTGCCGTCGCAGGGCCTAAACCCTCCAACGTGCACAGCTCATCCTCTGTAGCTGTCCGTATATTTATGACAGCCATGACAAAATATCATCAAGTTCCAAGAAAGAAATAAGTCAACACAATTAATTAAACAATTACAAAATTATGTACAAGGACATATATCAACGTTGCTACTAGTATACAGGCGAATGGAATTCGTACAAAGTAACAAATAAACTAGGTTAAATTAAATATAAATTTCAGAACGGCAGTGAAAACACCGCCGACTCTGAATTACCCCTAATAAATAATTAAATAAACAATAATGAACTACTAGAACTGTCCCAAATTATCTCACTCGCAATTCGCGCAATGATCACAATGGCCAGCGCACGTGTCGAGCCAGGGGACCAGCAAGGTAGAAAATATATGGATTTTTTTTTGGACAAAATTTGTCAGAATAGCGCGAGTTTTATCACACTTATGACACCAATTGTCGTGAATTCGGTGTGTGTTATTTACACACCGTCACAACAAGTAGCTGCTACTGCTCTCAGCTCTTGAAATCAAGTAACAAGTAACCGCGCCGAGATGTAACCTCGAGGTTGTCGGCGCGGTTATCGGTCTAAGGGAGATAACCCTCCCCAAAATTCACCACACTGCTGAAAACATTTGCATATGAATGAAAAGTAAATGAATGACATCCATATAAGGATATATTAGATACCATATAAGGGCTGAGAGACCATATAAGGTCATAGATGGCGTAAGTATCTACTGTGCAATTCCACGTTAAGCAAATTTCGTAGTATGCGCGATCCCCTACAGACCTGCGTTACCTAACGCATGTGTCAAAAACTTTTAGTTGAAATTGACCCCATAGATTTGGAGGAGTTGTCTGACAAATATTTTTCAACAAAGGGCCATAACTCCGTAAAAATAGGGTCAGATTGAAAAAATAATATCTGGATGCAAAACATCAAGTGGTTACCAGTGTTCATATCTGAAAACATTCATTGAAATTGGCCCAGTAGTTTTGGAGGAGTTGTCAGGAAAAGCATTTTTAACAAAGATTAATTACTCCGTATAAAAAGGGTCAGAATGAAAAAAGAATACCTGGGAACACAACTTAAGGTGGTAGTTATCATATCTGGAAACTTTCGTTGAAATTGATACTAAACTTTAGACAAAGTTGTCTAGACAAAACGTTTCAGGATTTGTTCAACAAAGGGCCATAATTTCGTAAAAAAGGGTTAGAATGAAAAATTAATACCTTGATGCACAACATCAGGTGGTAGTTATCTTATCTGGAAAGTTTTGTTGAAATTGGTCCATTACTTTAGAAGGAGTTGTCCGGACAAACTTATTCTAGACAGACAGACAGACAGACAAGCTGATTCTAATATAACTGTATAACTTTGTTGCGAGGTGTATAATAATGTGATATGCTATTCTTTAGCAAACCCAACTAACAAAGGCACCGGTAATATTTTACTCTTCTCATGAATTTTCGTTTAATTGGAACAAGATAATTCGGCGAATGATAGTTCCCCACCGAATGTGAAATGCACAGATGATAAATTGGTGCGGGAACTAATTCTATATATGAATGTTTGAGGGACCCACCGTATTCAATAAGGAATAGTGTCAGTGCTACTATTGCAAATAAATATGGTGGATGTTTACTGGTTAGTGGTACCGTTTTATTATTAAATTGCATCTGGTGACACTATGTATGCTTCTTCTTCAATGCAAGTGAACCCATGCCCCAAGCAAGAAGTTCCAGTAACTGGTAGTGTAGGAGATAGAGTAAGGACAAACTTTTTCTTTGATGCAGGTCAAAGGTAAAAAACAGAGTGACCTACTTTAATATATGACACACTGCCTCACCAAGATGAACCTATACTCCAAGTATGAAGTTCCAGTACTAGTAGTGTAGGAGAAAGAGCCGAGACAACCATTTTTTTTTATGTAGGTCAAAGTTCATATGTAGGTCAGAGTGACCTACTTTTAATACACGACACACCACCTCACCAAGGTGAACCCGTAAACCCAGTATGAAGTTCCAGTGACTATTAGTGTAGGAGATAAAGCCTGGACAAACCTTTTCTCTGATGTAGGTCAAAGGTCAAAATGTAGGTCAGAGTGACCTAATTTTGATACATGACGGTGTTATGTACTTATTACCCCTAATGTACATGTCTGAAACACGACAACACGAAAAAGGATTAGTCATTGTTCCTTGATCAGCTCAAATGGCCTAAAAGACCAAGCGAGCATACATGTATGCCATGTTGCAGCGTCTGTCATTCTTCAGCATTTTAACATCATCTAGAAAGTCAAAAGTCCTAGAGATACGGTGAGCCAAAAGTACGACAAACAGTCGAGCTGTTAATATGGGACAACGACAGCCTATTACGAAATATTGGCAAATTAGGCGATGAAAAATATTACATGTACCTATGTCTTTCCTTTATTTATTAATTTGCACTTTATTGCGACGTAGATGCCAGTTTGTAGGTCGCAAAGCAGTACAGATTTTCTTGCCTAGTAATGAAAGTTAAATTGTACACTGTGTATATCGGAATGCGGAGGGTGGATTGAAACTGCAGCTTCACATTTATTGGTTGGCTTTCACACAAGTGCAGGAAACAAATCAATTAAGTAAAGAATTACAAATCAGTGGCCAGGTCGTGATTATATAATCAAATTGTAAACGAAGTATGTGTAAAATATCCTCCTGATTTATTGGTTCCCCGAGAACTGACATAAATTCACCAATGAATTCTATACACTGTGGCATATGTGGCCATATCTCCAATTTTGGCCTGAAAACAGTAATATACAGTGTTGTTAGCCTGTATTACTATGGATATCAAGGTATCACTATATATATATAATGACTCCACTATGGTGGATGCCGACACTACTATGATACCACTCCGACCACCACGATAGGCCACGATACATCCAGATTCCACTACCGTATCATCACAGATTATCAAGGTATGACTACAGTTTGTCCCGGTGGGTTTCCAAGGTTATGCTACTGTCTGTCAAAGTGGCGCTACGCCATCACCAGTTCTGTCATGGTGTCACTGTGGTGAAGCTATTGTTTGTCACATGATGCCCCGGTGGCTATATACATTGGGACAAATGATAACAAGCAAATGCGTGGAATTTATATCCCCCGCTTGCAGGACATACTGTAGGTTAACATTATTTAGGTTAGGTTTAAACATGTGAGTATCGTACTGTTGAGACATAATGTATAGCTTGAAACTTGAAGAAAAAAAAAGAAACCCTATACCTCATTGATAATCCGTAAATATGCACAAATCACATCGGTTGGGAAACTTGGCATGAGTCGGATGTGCATACAGAATTTAGTTGAAACATCTGAACAATATCTACAGCAATTATCACACGAAAACCAAAGAGTGCCCAAGATGAGTGGAAAGACAGAGGATCAGAAACATTGTTATCAAGTTTGAAGAAATTTGGCTAATATTTGCGAGAAAGCGGAAACTGCAGATAATGACGTTTTTCGTTAATCAAGGGACCATAACTCTGCCAAATGGAGTCTGATTAAAGATGTTGTCAAACTTGGCCGAGCCCTTAATTCGTTGAACCCTGTTACTAAGTTTGAAGACAATGAAATAATATTTGAGAGTTAATGAACAGAAGCGGCAGATAAGGACGTTTTTCGTTATGCAAGGGGCCATAACTTCAGCAAAATGGGGTCCGCTGAAAGTGGTCATCGAAATTGGCTAAGCCCTTAAAGCTTTTAACCCTGTGACCAAGTTTGAAGAAAACGAAGCATAACAGACAGACAGACGGACAAACGCAAATTTATATCCCCCGTTTTGTGAAAACTGACCAAACGAGAAGCAAGTCTCAAACTACTTTAAGATCCTTTTTGTTCTTCGCCGCTGAATAACTTGGACCAACACCATGTAGTTTGTAACTTGCTGAATGTTCAATTCTAGAAGTCAGTTCATTAGCTGAAGTTTGTTTCTGTGGTTGTTGATGCCAAAGTCTATGATGTGACCCTCTCCAAGACTACCATGTATATAATATAGATGTAGTGTAACTGTGCCACACCATGGAATCCTGGAGCAACCGTGAATCGCTGTAGTGTCACCTTAAACAAGAGGTCGAGAGGGCCTGTATCGCTCACCTACCTATGTTTAAAATAATTGGTAAGAAGTAAAGATGTAGCACTCTATGGTACGTAGGTGCTGTAAGTACAGAAATTCAAAAAGATCCATCCAGTACATGAGATATAGCGAGAACAAACTTCAAACAGAGCCCCATCCCTATGCCCCTAGGGGGTTCATACCCACCGTTTATACAAAATTGAGACCCCTTGGCCCAAAGACTAAATAAGGCCAACTCTACAATTACACCACGATGGCTACAGAAGCTTGCACAGCAGTTCTTCAGTGGTCCTATGGAAAGGCCGGTCGTACTACTGTTTTCAAAATGGGCCATGGATGACCCTGGAAGTTCTACACAGTTTAAATCTACCGTAGTGAGGTACGAGTCACTCAGGATCATCAAATAGATTTCCCCAGATTGCCCGGGCTATGATACAGACTTGCTACGGATAAACCCAGGGTTGTACCCGCTTTGGACCTCACTGGGGCTTATATACCTTATATTTTTATTAGCTCCACATAATTAGCTACTAATACATGTTTCTTACCTTGCAAAAGCTGTCATTGTCATGGCAATACCGTTAACAGCTCCAGCCCGATTTGGTGGGGCAGAATTGTTGACAAATAGAGAAGAGGCACTAAAGCAACATGCAGTAATAAGCTTCTGTGGGAGCAAGATCAGAATGACCATTACCATCAATACTGTGTCCCTGCATAGAAAACAAACAGCAATTAGACCAAGAACATCAAGTTTGTTTCATTTTTAGTTTATAGTGTTTAGAGTCTTATTACATTTAACAAATAAGGTCCTGTTAGGAGTAAAACATTCTAGGACTCACACAAACAAATAAACGACTCACATGTTTTTAATAAAAATTAAGTTAATTCCTTCTAGAAATTACAGTAACTAAATGAATGTAATTAATTGAAGTGAATATATAAGAGTAAAAGCTCATAAGATAATAATAATAACAAGAGGCCCAGGGGCCTTAATTAATAGCTCACCTGGTATTTTATTTTCAATTTAAAATCTGCTGAGTACAAAACAGGTTTATTAAAGGAGTACAAAAAGTACAAGTTGCAAAAAGAACTACATGTAAATCTATTTCCCCAATCGGGTCCAGCCCTCTGCCCAAAGGGGGTCACACCCTTCATTTATACAAAACTGATTTCCCTTCCCCATAGGATGCTACTATTCAAATTTGGTCAAAATACCTTCATTCCAACGGAAGAAGAAGGATATTAAAGCTATTCCTCTATATCCCCTATTGGGCCCCACCTCTCAGTGCCCCCAGAGGAGTTAGACCCACCGTTCATACAAAATTGGTTCCCCTTCACCCAAATTTGGACAAAATCCTGTCATTCCTACAGAAAAAGAAGGATTTTGAAGAATTTGCCATGTTTCCCCTATTGGACCCCGCTCCTCAGCCCCCAGGGGGGCCACACTCCCTGTTTATACGAAATTGAGTCCCTTTTGCCCAAGGATGCTCCAGACTAAACTAGGATATAATCCCTTAATCCATATGGTAGAAGAAGGATTATAAAGGTTTTACCTCTATTTCCCCTATTGGGCCCCCGCCCCTAAGGTCCCAGGGGGGGACACACCCACCGTTTATACAGAATTGGTTCCCCTCTATCCAAGGATGCTCCACACCAAATATGGACCAAATCCTTTCATTCCTACAGAAGAAGAACGATTTTAAAGAATAATTTGCTATGTTTCCTCTATTGGGCCCTGCCCTCCAGGCCCCTAGGGGGCCAGACCCACAGTTTATACAAAATTGGTTCCCCTTCACCCAAGGATGCCTCAGACCAAATATGGAACAAATCCTTTTATTCCTTCAGAAGAAGATGGATTTTAAAGAATTTGTTATATTTCCCTTATTGGGCCCCGCCCCTCAGCACCCAGTGGGGCCAGACCCACGGTTTATACGAAATTGTTTCCCCTTCACCCAAGGTGTGGAAATGTTTGTGTCAGTGTGTGGAACTGTTTGTGTCACAGCTGTGTGTGGAAATGTTTGTGTCACAGATGTGTGTGGAACTGTCTATGTCACAGATGTGTGTGGTACTGTCTGTGTCACAGATGTGTGTGGAACTGTCTGTGTCACAGCTGTGTGCGGAAATGTTTGTGTCACAGATGTGTGTGGAACTGTCTGTGTCACAGCTGTGTGTGGAAATGTTTGTGTCACAGATGTGTGTGGAACTGTCTATGTCACAGATGTGTGTGGTACTGTCTGTGTCACAGATGTGTGTGGAACTGTCTGTGTCACAGCTGTGTGCGGAAATGTTTGTGTCACAGATGTGTGTGGAACTGTCTGTGTCACAGATGCATGTGGAAATGTTTGTGTCACAGATGTGTGTGGAACTGTCTGTGTCACAGATGTGTGTGGTAATGTTTGTGTCACAGATGTGTGTGGAACTGTTTGTGTCACAGATGTGTGTGGTACTGTCTGTCACAGATGTGTGTGGAACTGTCTATGTCACAGATGTGTGTGGTACTGTCTGTGTCACAGATGTGTGTGGAACTGTCTGTGTCACAGCTGTGTGTGGAAATGTTTGTGTCAGTGTGTGGAACTGTCTGTGTCACAGATGTGTGTGGTAATGTCTGTGTCACATATGTGTGTGGAACTGTCTGTGTCACAGATGTGTGTGGTACTGTCTGTGTCACAGATGTGTGTGGAACTGTCTGTGTCACAGAGATGTTACTTACTGATTTTGTAAAAGATGTAACATTGGCATCACAGTTATAGCCAGCATCAATACCAAAGTACAACCAGCAAACGTCTGAAACATTTAACATAATATTACACAATACAGCCAAGAAATGTTTATATTACAAAATACACCCAGACAAAATCTGAAACATTTAATGTTTTATTACACAAAACAGCCAACAGATGTCTCAAACATTTAATTTAATACATGTAGTACATGCACATCAAGCAAATATCTTCAACATTTAAAACAAGAGGCCCAGAGGGATACCTAAGCAATCATGGCAAAATATTCTCCAAATGAGATCCAAGAGAATATGCTAGACCCCTAGGCTAATCCTTGTAGCATATCTGTAGTAGATTTTTCATGCCCAGCAATTTTATGCATGGTTATGGGGTGGTCAGCACCACCATTTGTACAATTTTGAATCCCAGCCTCCCATGAACGCTTCTGACCAACTATGATCAATATCTGTGGCATAATTGTACAGAAGTCGTTTATAGCAATATAGCAATTGCCCACTTTTGGCCCCAGCCCCCAGGCAGCCCAACCATTTGTACAATTTTGAATCCCCACCACCTAGGGAAGCTTCCAGTCAAATATGGTTGATATCCAGTGCATATATAGTTCTACAGAAGAAGTCGTTTGTAGCAATATAGCCAAATTGCCCCCTTTTGGCCCCACCCCTCAGCCCCCTGGGGGGTTGGCCCAACCGTTTTTACAATTTTGAATCTCCACTACAGAGGAATGCTTCCAGTTAAATATGGTTGATATCCATCTCTTAATTCCAGAGATGAAGTTGCTTAAATCAATATAGCCCAATTGCCCAGTTTTGGCCCAGCCACTCAGGCCCCTGGGGGGCCAGACCCACGGTTTATACAAAATTGGTTCCCCTTTACCAAAGGATGCTTCACACCAAATATGGAACAAATCCTTTCATTCCTACAGAAGAAGAAGGATTTGAAAGAATTTACTATGTGTTCTCTATAGGACCCTCACTTAGGCCCCTCAGGGGCCAGACCCACGGTTTATACAAAATTGGCTCCCTTTCACCCAAGGATGCTTCAGACCAAATATGGAACAAATCCTTTCATTCCTACAGAAGAAGAAGGATTTTTAAGAATTTACTATGTGTTCCCTATTGGGCCCCGCCCCTCAGGGGCCAGACCCACGGTTTATACAAAATTGATTCCCCTTCATCAAAGGATGCTTCAGACCAAGTGTGGAACAAATCCTTTAATTCCTACAGAAGAAGAAGGATTTTAAAGAATTTGCTATATTTCCATTATTGGGCCCCGCCCCTCAGCCCCCAGGGGGGCCAGACCCACCATTTATACAAAATCGGTTCCCCTCCCCTAAGGATGCTTCTGACTAAATTTGGTCAAAATCTGCTCAGTCGTTTATGACAAGTAGCGATTTTTAGGAAAAGTTGACAGACAACGGACAGCGGTAAATGGACAGCGGACGACGGACAAAGGACGCCGAGGATGCTTCAGAGCAAGGATGCTTCAGACCAACTATGGAACAAATCCTTTCATTCCTACAGAAGAAGAAGGATTTTAAAGAATTTGCTATATTTCCCCTATTTGTCCCCGCCCCTCAGCCCCCTCAGGGGCAAGACCCGCCATTTATACACAAGTTGTTCCCCTTCCCCTAAGGATGCTTCTGACCAAAATTGGTCAAATTCTGCTCAGTCGTTTATGACAAGTAGCGATTTGTAGGAAAAGTTGACGGACGACGGACCACAGACGGACGATGGACGCCGCGCCATGGCATAAGCTCACTAGCCCTTCAGGCAGGTGAGCTAAAAATGAAATTTACTCAAATTCATTCGACAACTGGTTTAGGAGATTTGGCATTATATAAAGAATGCGTGTATATTGTCTATTTTGCACTATTTGGTTGAAATTGGCCATTTTGAGGGAAATTAACTAAACTCTCTTCATTTTCTTAAAGCCTCCACATGCAACAACAAATAGATTTTTGACATGCTTAAAAATGGTCACACGTGTGTTCATACATAGAAAGAACTTTTTGTTTGTCACATGTCAAAGTTGATTATTTTACTTTTTATGAGGCCAAAAATGACCCATAAACCCCACAATCCTTGGTTGCCCTTCAGGCCACTAGCAAAATAACATCACCCTGGGGCTTTTGGTTATTTAGAAGAAGTTGTTTATAGATTGTATAATAATATGACTCATGTGAACTTGAAAGTTGGTCAAGGTCCTTCATTTGGTCAAATTGTGTAGCCCTTCATCTACCAAATATCATCAGGCATGACCTTTCGGTTATTCAGAAGAAGTTGTTTGAAACGTGACCACAGTTACTCTTAACGCAAGTCAAGGTAATTCATTTGAACAATTTGATAGCCCTCCATCCTATCATACTACATAGGGCCTTATGGATATTCAGAAGAAGTAAATTGAGATTTTTCAATCATTTGTTCCCAGTGACCTAGAAAGCGCAACAGACTTTGTAACCCTTAATCCCTGCATGCCAATGTCCAAATATCAGTATCCAAAGTATTGTGGTCATTCAGAAGAGGTTGTTTGAATATCTTTTTTAAACATTTGAACCCAGGAACCTTGAAAATGAACCAATGTCATTCATTTGATCAAACTTTGTAGCCCTACAACCCAGCATGCTACTGGTGAAATATCATTACATTGGACCTTTTGGTTATAGTGGAGTTGTTAGATAATATATTTTTAAATCACTTGACCCTAGTGACCTTGAAAGTCATTTAAATATACTTAGAAGTTAGACATCCAAACATGCTACTGGCCAAATTTCACCACTCTTGGCTTTTTGGTTATACAGAAGTTGTTTGAAGTTCTTTTAATTATTTGACCCCAGTTTACTTTGAAATTGGGCCAAGGTCATTCATTTGAACAAACTTGGTATTTATACATGTACATCAAAGTATGCTAATGGCTAAATAACACAATCCTTGGCCTTAGGTTATACAGAAGAAGTTGTTTAAAGTTTTATTTAATCATTTGCATCAAGTGATCTTGAAAAGGGATCAAGATAATTCATTTGAACAAACTTGGTAGCTCTTCATCCAAGCATGGGTCCTTCGGGCCAGGTGATCTAAAATGAGGTAAATCTGGGGGGAAATGAATGAGATCAGTGCACTTTATTCATATATCACACTTGTATCTTTCATTGATTTTTTCATTTCTGTTATTTTTTGTCAAGTTATTAATACAATTCTAATTTAAAACACACTGTGTGATATGAGGATAACTAGAAAATGTCTGTAAGACATGAATGCCCCCGCCGCCATGTGAAATTAGTTCAGTGTTTGATGTTCTATAAATATTTACAACAACTTTGATCTTGAGGGACAGGAAGGGACGAGACGGGAGGGGACGGGACAGACACGGGCAACACTATAAGGCCCCCCATTTCATGGCAGGGGCATAAAAAACAGAGAAACATGAATGAAGAGAGGAAGGACTTTTTTGGTACCATTTGTGCTGTCGTACAGATGAAGATATCATAAGCTGAAGGAATGACTATTAGCTGTGCATCACTGTGCACGTGGTTACATACCTTCTTGAGGCCAAATGTTCGGGCCAAGAAAGGGAAAAGGAAGAGATTAAACACCAGTAATGGTATAGACGATATGCCAATCACTGCTCCAATCTTGTCTGGGGCATAGTTCAACCCATCTGCAAGAAAGAAAAAAACCCCCATTATATTCTCGAAGGATCTTGGCACCAACCATGAAACGACCTTTATCAGATATACAAAAGATTATTTTTTACCTTCTTTCTCTTCAATTTCCTTACAGGTAATTTTACCCAGGCCCATGTTGGGAATCGTAATGTGAATCTTGTACAATAAATTCAACTTCATAATGTCATATGCTATATGCCACTATGACAAAATGTATGTTATTGTATAATAACTTCATTACAATATGTAGAATACTAAAGATCTGTAAAAAAACAACAACATATATATAAATACACATTTTATTGTCCACTTGAATTTTAAAATAATCTTATAACTCAGGTATACAGTACTTTGTGTTGTAAAAACCATATAAGGTGGTCTGGGGTAGTGATATTCATGAAACTCTTTTAAGGCTTAAGACCAAATACAAGTCCGGTAATGCGGTAAAAGTAAATACAAATTTACATTTTTGGAATGAGTTGGAAAAAATTTGGAAAGATTTAAAATTTATACTCACTAAAGTGTTATATTTTTTTCTAATGATTGAATTTTGCATTTCTATTGAAAGCACATAAACTTTAGATTACATTTTTTTTGGTGGACATTCATTTTCATGTTAATTTCCAAGATTATAAACGTTGAACAATTCTATATCCAACAAAATTAATTAAGAAACAATGGGCCTGCATCACTCACCTGGTATAAATCTCACACTTGTAACCTTAAAAGTGATCTAAAATAAAGCTACAGGCAAAATATCAGTATTTATGATTAAAATTCATTCAAAAGAACCTGTTATTTTTTTTTTAAAACATTTCACCCCTGTGATTGAAAGTCGAACAAGGTCATTATGTTGAACAAATTTTATAGCCTTTCATCTCAGGATGCAACTTGCAAAATATAAAGATCCTGGGACCCATGGTTTNAGTTATCTTTTTGTCATTTATCGACTGTTTAAATACGTTGATTGTCAGAGAAATCAATGACATATATAGCCTCATATTTACCAAGTTTTATGCCAACCATAGGAACTCGCTTAACTCGAATACTCGGATAACTCGAAGTTTCCCAACTATCCCGTCGGCTTCGAGATAACGAGGTTCGACTGTATTTGGATTTTAATATTGGTTGTAACCTAAAATAAAGTTCTGATTCCAGGACATACAATACGAGGCTCGATACCCATAAAGGGAGCCCCATGAAATGTTGCAACCAATGAGGAAAGTGACTAGGTGGGGAGGATATGTGAGGTAGCTTTGGCATTAACTAGAAGGGTGGTCATTGAGGACCAAGGAGAACGTTTACCTACACATCCAATTTGAGAAAAGATTACTCCAGTACTTCCAGAGAAATACTAGCCATCTTGGTTTTCCAATCATCCCCAAAATTGAAAATACATAACAAGGGACAATGGAGAACCTTCATGTGAAATTTGAAAAAGACCCTTCCTGTACATTCTGAGAAATAGCGCTATCCAACTTTAACTCTTAAATTCATGATGGCTGCCTGCCATTTCGTGGCCAGTCCCAAAAAACAATATGCATAACTAAGGACCATGGGGAACCTTCACGTGACAGTTGAGAATGATCTCTTCAGCATTTTTTGAGAAATAGCGCTAACAAACTTTAGCTTTCAAAATTAATGTCAGCCATCTTGGTTTTCCAATCATCCCAAAGATTGGATATGCATACCAAGGGACCATGACAAACTTTCATATCAAATTGGAGAAAGATTCCTTTAGTAAGTTTTGAGAAATAGTGCTAACTCACTTTAACTCTCAAATTCAATATGGCTGCCTGTCGGCCATCTTGGTTTTGTGGTTTGTTTGTATTTTAGGTCCTAATAACAGTCATTTAAGGGCGTGCAAGGTTTTTGATGGTGGAGGAAATCTTGGTAGCCCTTCACCCAAGCACGCGACTGGCCAAATATCATCTCCATGGCCATTTGGGTTATTCAAAAGAAGTTGTTTAAAGTTTTTAACACATTCGACCCCTGTGACCTTGCAAATGGGTGAAGGTCATTTATTTTAACAAACTTTGTAGCCCTTCATCTCAGCATGCTACTGGCCAAATATCATCACCCTGGGCATTTTGGTTATTGAGAAGAAGTTGTTTAAAGTTTTTAACATATTTGACCCCTGTGACATTGAATATGGGTGAAGGTCATCCATTTGAACAAACTATGTAGCCCTTCATCTCAGCATGCTGCTGGCCAAATATCATCACCCTAGGCCTTTTGGTTATTCAGAAGAAGTTGTTTAAAGCAAAAAATTGATGCCGGACGCCGCGCCAAGGCATACGCTCACTTGGCCCGGGAACAGGTGGGGACTAATTAACATTGTGTCATAAAACAACAATCTCACTGTAAATCAATATTGTAATACATGAATTACATCAAACTTTTTATGCAAAAAATAGGGTAGGCTTGTGAAAGTTATCTTGAGTTCATACTTTTCTGACATTCAATATTATTATCTTACTTACGTAAACTAGGGGTATAGCATATAATCTATTCTACAATAAGTCAGTCATGTGTATTGTGTGCTATCATGAAATGTACTGAGGCAACAGTTAATCACAGTCCCCAAACCCAAAATTTTCCAAGTTGAGGGTCAATTAAGCTTAACCATTGCTTGCTAATTTTACTTCATGTGAAATGTACTAGACTTGTCAGGTAAATTTCCATGGACAGTTACATGCTGTGTTATTATATTATATTATATACAGATTTTCAAGCCTCTTGTGGTTTAATACTGCTCTGTAAGTTACACAAATATGTTCATGGGACTACACACTGGCGTATTGCATGTAAGTGTATTTATACAAGTATTTGATACACAAATAGTTATGCTAGTGGTCTTAGACGGTTAAGACCAGGGTGAGGATGAGGGCTCTCCTCAGCAAATACACCGCACAGAATTTTTTATTGGAAAGTTCCCCATTCTTCATAACTGTCCTCATTTAGATATATTTCTTCAAATAGGTGGCAATTTTCAAATATAACATACAGTCGAACCTCGTTATCTCGAACTCGTATAACTCGAAGACCCCGTTTAACTCGAAGTATGTCATCTTAATCTTAGTAATAACAAGAGGCCCAATGGGCCTGCATCGCTCACCTGTTATTAATCTAACACTTGTAATCTTAAGATTTCATAAGAACCTATTAAAAGATTTAAACATATGACGCCTCTGACCTTGTGTCGAACAAGGACATTAGGTTGAAAGTGGATCAAGGTCATTCATTTGAACTAACATGGTAGTCCTTCATCCCAGCATGCTACAGGCCAAATTTCAGTACCCTGGCCCTTTTGCTTATTGAAAAGAAGTCGCTTGAAGATTTTACGACA